CTGGTAATAAGCCATTGTGCTTGCATTTGTAAGGCTTTCCTTTAACTTTGTGAAACTTGCTTGTTGTTCCTTGTTCCATGCAAATGTAGTTTCCTTTCTGGTGAGTTTCCTCAGAGGTTCCGTAAGTGTAGCATAGTCTTTGATGAAGTGTGAACAAAAGTTGACTAGACCTAGGAAACTTCTTACTTCTGTTGCATTTGTTGGGACTTTGGCATTGTTGACTGCATCCACTTTGGATTTATCTGGATGAATTCCTTTGTCTGTCAGACAATATCCTGCAAATGTGAGCTTTGTTGTTCCAAATACACATTTCTTTGGATTGATCTTTAAGTTTCTGGCATGCAATGCTTTGAATAGCGTGTCAAGACGCTCTGCCATTTCATCTCTACTCGATGACCATATCAGAATGTCATCTGATATTGACCTTGTGCCTGGGCAACCTGCAATGCTTTGCTCAATAACCTTCTGAAACTGCTCAAAGGCTGAACTGACTCCATACACAAGACGTTTTGATTGAAAACAACCTTCATGTGTTAGAAATGTTGTTATGTGCCTTGATTCCTCTGCTAACTCTAGTTGGTGGTACCCTTCTTTTAAATCAATCTTTGAAAAGTATTTTGCATTATGCAACTCTGGGAGGATTTCTTCAACTTTTGGAATCTGGTGTCTTTCTCTTACTATGGCTTCATTGGCTCTTCTCATATCTAAACATAATCTTATGGTTCCATTTGGCTTTGGTACTACTACTATTGGGTTTATCCAGGTACTTGGACCTTTAACTTTCTCTATGCAGTCATTTTTCAACAATCTTTCTAGTTCTGCAGAAACTTTCTTTCTTGTATGATATGGTAATCTTCTGATTGGCTGCTGAACCGGAATGACATTTTCATCAATATGTAGTTTTAACTTGTAGTCTTTGAATTTACCCATGCCTTCAAATACTTCTCTGTTGTTGTCCAGAACTTTCTGAATCTTAGGATCTATTTTGTGTTCAGTTGGCTTTTCTTGACTGATTTCATTTACTGATTTGTGAAGTGAATTTGTTGGATCTGCTTTAGAACCTAGAACTGGGCCTACTCTTAAAATATCAAGCTTTTCTGCTGTCTTTTGTCCTAGCAATGCTCCCCCTGAACCTTTTGTGACATAGAATTTTGCTTGGGTTTCTTTCCCAAATGCTTCAGCTTTTGCTCTGAATGTTCCTTTTAGTTTCAATGGTTCTTTGCCTAGATAAGTGAATATCTTAGTCTTGCTGCTTTCAAGTTGTGGTTTTTTTGGCAATTTCTGAAATGATATCTCATCAATGATGTTCAATGTTGATCCACTGTCAATGAGCATATTTATTGGTGTGCCATCTATATAGACTGGATATACTGGTCTTTCCTTGCTTCCAATTTTGAATACTGATGTTTCATCATCACTTGAACTTTCTGTTGTGACTTTACTTGCTCTTACTTGATGATTTTCTGGTTTCTTTGGATTTTTGGTCTTGCAGCATTTTGCAAAGTGTCCCATAATTCCACATTTCATGCACTTTTTTCCTTTTGTCACTCTACAGTCTTTACTGTTGTGATTCTTCATTCCACATCTTCCACATTGTTCCCTTTGTTGAGTGTATTTTTGATTTCTGTTTGCTTGCCTACCTTTGTGCTGGTATTTATTTTGCCTTATTTTATTCAGGTCTGAGAAAGATTCTTTCATTGTGTCAGCTGATGAGCCTGCACCATTTTGTTGTTCTATCTTCTTTGTCTGAAGGTCTGATTGTTCCATGAGCTTTCCTATTCTTAGAACTTTATCTAATGTGAGATCTGGCTCTTGTAGCAATCTTTTTCTAAGCTTACTTGATTTGCATTTTGCTATTACTTGATCTCTTATCTCATCTTGTGTTGCATCACCATATTCACAATGAATGATTAACTTTTTCAACCTAGTGACATATGAATCTATGTTCTCTCCTGTTTCTTGACCTGTTTCATGAAATACACATCTTTCAAATGGAATATTTTTCTTGATATCAAAATGACTATCTAACTTATTTACTGCCTGGTCATATGTTGTGCCTACCTCACCTAATGTTTCAAATATGTCTTGCACTTCATCTCCTACAAGATGCAAAAGTGCTGCCCTCTTTTGGCTATCATTTTGAATACCTGTTGCATTCAGAAAATAAACGAACGATTTCTTCCATTTTTGCCATCTTTGACTTACCGTGGAAGGATCTCCTTTTGGATCAAATTCCTTAACTGGAGGTAATTGAATCGATACTGGTTGAGGTTGCTGCGCCTGGCCTATTTGATTATCGTTTTCTTCCATATCTCGTATTCTCTTGTCGAAATTATTACTTTCTAATCCTTCTTTGGGTTCTTTAGATAACTCGTCGCCATAATATGTTGTGTATGCGCGCGCAATGCCTAAGATCCGCTGCGACCTGACGCTAGACCTAGAGAGCACACGAGACAAGACGCCATGTTTTCACTCCGACCCTGATCTAATCTCCTCTATCAACTCCAATCCGAGGCTAATATAAAATGGTTTATGCCTAATACATTACACCCATTTTTGACCAAGAATTTTTTTCTCCAAAACTTGCCTAAAACCACTCTAAATAAAGCATAAAGACGTTTAAATCAGTTCTCGCCTCTATTAAAAGTGTTTTTATGCTCTAAAAAGGCAGTGTTTTGGATGAGTATTTTCATGGAAAAAAGCAAGGCTATAGCCTTATCAAAATACTCCATTTTTGACCAAGAATTTTTTTATCCAAAACTTGCCTGAAACCACTCTAAATAAAGCATAAAGACGTTTAAATCAGTTCTCGCCTCTATTAAAAGTGTTTTTATGCTCTAAAAAGGCAGTGTTTTGGATGAGTATTTTTTAATGGAAAAAAGCAAGGCTATAGCCTTACCAAAATACCCCATTTTTGTCCAAGAATTTTTTTATCCAAAACTTGCCTAAAACCACTCTAAATAAAGCATAAAGACGTTTAAATCAGTTCTCGCCTATATTAAAAGTGTTTTTATGCTCTAAAAAGGCAGTGTTTTGGATGAGTATTTTCGTGGAAAAAAGCAAGGCTATAGCCTTACCAAAATACCCATTTTTGACCAAGAATTTTTTTATCCAAAACTCACCTCAATCCACGCTAAATAAAGCATAAAGACGTTTAAATCAGTTCTCGCCTCTATTAAAAGTGTTTTTATGCTCTAAAAAGGCAGTGTTTTGGATAAGTATTTTCGTGCAAAAAAGCAAGGCTATAGCCTTACCAAAATACCCCATTTTTGACCAAGAATTTTTTTATCCAAAACTTGCCTAAAACCACTCTAAATAAAGCATAAAGACGTTTAAATCAGTTCTCGCCTCTATTAAAAGTGTTTTTATGCTCTAAAAAGGCAGTGTTTTGGATGAGTATTTTCGTGGAAAAAGCAAGGCTATAGCCTTACCAAAATACCCCGTTTTTGACCAAGAATTTTTTATCCAAAACTTGCCTCAATCCACTCTAAATAAAGCATAAATACGTTTAAATCAGTTCTCGCCTCTATTAAAAGTGTTTTTATGCTCTAAAAAGGCAGTGTTTTGTTTAAGGATTTTCGTGCAAAAAGGCAAGGTTATAGCCTTACCAAAATACCCCAATTTTGACCATGAATTTTTTCATCCAAAACTTGCTTCAATCCACTCTAAATAACGCATAAATACGTTTAAATCAGCTCTCGCCTTTATTAAAAGTGTTTTCATGCTCTAAAAAGGCAGTGTTTTGGTTAAGGATTTTCGTGCAAAAAAGCAAGGCTAAAGCCTTACCAAAATACCCCAATTTTGACCATGAATTTTTTCATCCAAAACTTGCTTCAATCCACTCTAAATAACGCATAAATACGTTTAAATCAGCTCTCGCCTTTATTAAAAGTGTTTTCATGTTCTAAAATGGCAGTGTTTTGTTTAAGTATTTTCGTGCAAAAAGGCAAGGTTATAGCCTTACCAAAATACCCCAATTTTGACCATGAATTTTTTGATCCAAAAATTGCTTCAATCCACTCTAAATAAAGCATAAATACGTTTCAGTCAGCTCTTGACTCTATTAAAAGTGTCCTTTTGCCCTAAAAAGTCTATGTTTTGGATGAGGATTTTCGTGCAAAAAAGCAAGGCTATAGCCTTACGAAAATACCCCATTTTTGATCAAGAACTTTTCAATCCAAAATCTGCCTCAATCTACTCTAAATAAAGCAATCTACTCTAAATCGACTCTAAATAAATACGTTTCAATCAGCTCTTGCCTCTATTTAAAGTGTTTTCATGCTGTAAAAAGGCAGTGTTTTGGTTAAGAATTTTCGTGCAAAATAGCAAGGCTATAGCCTTACCAAAATACCCCGTTTTTGACCAAGAATTTTTTCATCAAAAATTTTCCTCAATCCACGCTAAATAAAGCATAAATACGTTTAAATCAGTTCTCGCCAATATTAAAAGTGTTTTCATGCTGTAAAAAGGCAGTGTTTTGGTTAAGAATTTTCGTGCAAAATAGCAAGGCTATACCCTTACAAAAATACCCCGTTTTTGACCAAGAATATTTTCATCCAAAACTTGCCTAAAACCACTCTAAATAAAGCATAAATACGTTTAAATCAGTTCTCGCCTCTATTAAAGGTGTTTTCATGCTCTAAAAAGGCAGTGTTTTGGTTAAGAATTTTCGTGGAAATTAGCAAGGCTATAGCCTTACCAAAATACCCCGTTTTTGACCAAGAATTTTTTCATCCAAAACTTTCCTCAATCCATGCTAAATAAAGCATAAATACGTTTAAATCAGTTCTCGCCTCTATTAAAGGTGTTTTCATGCTCTAAAAAGGCAGTGTTTTGGTTAAGAATTTTCGTCGAAAATAGCAAGGCTATAGCCTTACCAAAATACCCCGTTTTTGACCAAGAATTTTTTCATCCAAAATTTTCCTCAATTCACGCTAAATAAAGCATAAATACGTTTAAATCAGTTCTCGCATCTATTAAAAGTGTTTTCATGCTGTAAAAAGGCAGTGTTTTGGTTAAGGTTTTTCATGGAAAAAAGCAAGGCTATAGCCTTACCAAAATACCCCATTTTTGACCAAGAATTTTTTTATCCAAAACTTGCCTAAAACCACTCTAAATAAAGCATAAAGACGTTTAAATCAGTTCTCGCCTCTATTAAAAGTGTTTTTATGCTCTAATAAGGCAGTGTTTTGGATGAGTATTTTCGTGGAAAAAAGCAAGGCTATAGCCTTACCAAAATACCCCATTTTTGACCAAGAATTTTTTTATCCAAAACTTGCCTAAAACCACTCTTAATAAAGCTTAAAGACGTTTAAATCAGTTCTCGTCTCTATTAAAAGTGTTTTCATGCTGTAAAAAGGCAGTATTTTGGTTGAGAATTTTCGTGGAAAATAGCAAGGCTATAGCCTTACCAAAATACCCCGTTTTTGACCAAGAATTTTTTCATCCAAATATTGCCACAATCCACTCTAAAAATAGCATAAATACGTTTAAATCAGTTCTCGCATCTATTCAAAGTGTTTTCATGCTATAAAAAGGCAGTGTTTTGGTTAAGAATTTTCGTCGAAAATAGCAAGGCTATAGCCTTACCAAAATACCCCGTTTTTGACCAAGAATTTTTTCATCCAAATATTGCCACAATCCACTCTAAAAATAGCATAAATACGTTTAAATCAGTTCTCGCATCTATTCAAAGTGTTTTCATGCTATAAAAAGGCAGTGTTTTGGTTAAGAATTTTCGTCGAAAATAGCAAGGCTATAGCCTTACCAAAATACCCCGTTTTTGACCAAGAATTTTTTCTTCCAAATATTGCCTCAATCCACTCTAAAAATAGCATAAATACGTTTAAATCAGTTCTCGCATCTATTCAAAGTGTTTTCTTGCTCTAAAAAGGCAGTGTTTTGGATGAGGATTTTCGCTGAAAAAAGCAAGGCTATAGCCTTACCAAAATACCCCATTTTTGACCAAGAATTTTTTCATCCAAAACTTTCCTCAATCCACGCTAAATATAGCATAAATACGTTTAAATCAGTTCTCGCCTTTATTAAAAGTGTTTTCATGCTCTAAAATGGCTGTGTTTTGGTAAAGGATTTTCGTGCAAAAAAGCAAGGCCTTACCAAAATGCCCCATTTATGACCAAGAATTTTTTCATCCAAATATTGTCTCAATCCACTCTAAAAATAGCATAAATACGTTTAAATCAGTTCTCGCATCTATTCAAAGTGTTTTCATGCGCTAAAAAGGCAGTGTTTTGGATGAGGATTTTCGCTGAAAAAAGCAAGGCTATAGCCTTACCAAAATACCCCATTTTTGACCAAGAATTTTTTCATCCAAAACTTGTCTAAAACCACTCTAAATAAAGCAAAAAGACGTTTAAATCAGTTCTCGCCTCTATTAAAAGTGTTTTTAAGCTCTAAAAAGGCAGTGTTTTGCATGAGTATTTTCGTGGAAAAAAGCAAGGCTATAGCCTTACCAAAATAACCCATTTTTGACCAAGAATTTTTTTATCCAAAACTTGCCTAAAACCGCTCTAAATAAAGCATAAAGACGTTTAAATCAGTTCTCGCCTCTATTAAAAGTGTTTTTATGCTCTAAAAAGGCAGTGTTTTGGACGAGTATTTTCGTGGAAAAAAGCAAGGCTATAGCCTTACCAAAATACCCCGTTTTTGACCAAGAATTGTTTCATCCAAAACTTGCCTCAATCCACTCTAAAAAAAGCATAAATACTTTTAAATCAGCTCTCAGCTTTATTAAAAGTGTTTTCATGCTCTAAAATGGCAGTGTTTTGTTTAAGGATTTTCGTGCAAAAAGGCAAGGTTATAGCCTTACCAAAATACCCCAATTTTGACCATGAATTTTTTCATCCAAAACCTGCTTCAATCCACTATAAATAAAGCATAAATACGTTTCAGTCAGCTCTTGACTCTATGAAAAGTGTTTTTATGCCCTAAAAAGTCTATGTTTTGGATGAGGATTTTCGTGCAAAAAAGCAAGGCTATAGCCTTACGAAAATACCCCATTTTTGATCAAGAACTTTTCCATCCAAAATCTGCCTCAATCTACTCTAAATAAAGCAATCTACTCTAAATCGAATCTAAATAAATAAGTTTCAATCAGCTCTTGCCTCTATTTAAAGTGTTTTCATGCTGTAAAAAGGCAGTGTTTTGGTTAAGAATTTTCGTGCAAAATAGCAAGGCTATAGCCTTACAAAAATACCCCGTTTTTGACCAAGAATATTTTCATCTAAAACTTGCCTAACACCACCTTAAATAAAGCATAAATACGTTTAAATCAGTTCTCGCCTCTATTA